ACAAATATAAATCCAAAATTTTTTTCCAGCTCTTCCAGCTTTAACTTAGTAATTCTGCTATTATTTCCAGGTTGGTAGTTTCTACAATGTTTAGAAAATTTTACAGGTGTTACTCTGCAGTCGCAAAATGTCGTATGCGTTGATAATACATTTGAATTTTCATGTCCAAATGGTGGGACGATAAGTGTAGATTTTGCTCTGTATGGAAATGCTGGGGTTAGTCTTTTCGTTGTGCGATAAACTGGAAAAACTTTAGTCTTACGCAGTTGGAGACAGGAAAAGTATATCTTTTTTTTTCCAAAAGCTTTTGATAAATGCTAGGGCGGAAAAGGAAAATATGGTGTAGGCGATTAACAACAGTAAGTGAGGATTGAAGAACCTAATATAGCAGAGCACTAGTGAATTCCGGCTACAGCTGTGGTTTTTTCTTTCGTGCCAATTTTATAAGCTATCTTGTCAATTCTGTTGAAGTTTTGCGTAAACACTATTTTTCTGGTAAACGCTAATGTGTTAGAAAAGTGTTTTGTATTTTTTCGTAAATACTGGGAGTGAGTACTGTCTTTGCAAAATTTTTCTAGGATGTTTTGCACCAGAAATCTTGATATAAATTTCTTTAAAATTTGATGACCGTAACGCAAAGTTTTTTTTAGCAGTCCCATGTTCTGTGTTCGATTTATCCTCGAGTAAGCGAAAATGTGACGGACTGGGAAACTTGCGCTCATCCATCAAGCCTTCAAACATTAATTAGCACGTATGTTGAAAACCACAAAAATTTAACTATTTTTTATTTATTTAATTTATACCGTCAGCTCCTCCACTGTCATTTCGATGATAATCTGAACTAACAGATAATTAGCTTTATTATAAAGAAGAAATAGTTGAAAAATAAGAGAGCCTGAAATATTGGTGTAAAGCCTTCATTGGGGTGTAATGCAAAAGTGCATCACTGAGGATTCACTGATGCGTTTTGTGCTGTAACAGTTGCACAAAATGTATATTATCGCTCCCGGTCCGTGTGTTTTTGTGCGTGTCTGTGTTCCAGTTGCGTTCTGTTTATTCTGAAGTGCACTCCTAGATTGCTGAGAGGCAGCGCTGACTTGAAAGAAATTGACAGTTACATCTATCTTGACGCGGGAAATAAATGTGTACCTTAATCAATACTCGGAGATTACACGTAGAACTCTTGCCAGTTGGCGCAAATCCTGCAGCATCGTCACTACCTTTGTTATTGTTTTTTTTTTTTTGTAATTAGTTGATGTACCTCTTTAGATTTCGCACGAATAGTCGAAAAATGACTTAAATTTCAGGCGATGATTTAAAATTCGGGAAATTTAATGAGTCATTTATTGCTTAATATTTAGATGTCAAGGACTCACATACTGCCGGGTGGAAAATCTTCGATCACTTTTTCCTGATAATCCATGTCTTCCTACAACTCCCATTGCACTGCATTACAGAATGCGTTGCTCAGATGGTGCATTTTTTTATTTTTGGCTTATTTATAATATAATCAAAAGAAAAACGATCTTTAGGAAAGACTGAGATTGCGTACATAATTGAAATTTTGTTCCCGAAGTTTCAGCTTCTCAGTTTCGTAGTTTATGAGCTGGGATCTGTGGTTCCACATAGTCACGCAAACACCCACGCACGGGCGTACGACCGACAATTGCAGATTATAAACACACACAAGTACACACACGCGAAATGTCATCTTTGCTTCAATGCCTCGATGTAAAAAATCAAAAAAATTTTCTTCCCAATTTAAAAAAAAATGAGAAAAACTTTTTTGACGCTCCTTCCCCGGCCGAGTGCTCATTCTAACAGTATTTTATCCAGGCTTCAAAATCACCTAAAATTCTTATTGGAATTTCTAGAACCGCTAATCAACTGTCATCAAAATGCTATCTATCAGAACGGGCGATGCTACGTTCCATACACGCTAAAGGAACCGCTGCCGTTGTTTGATGCGCAAACAGGGTGTCGGAGAGAGGTTATTTTTGCTTTGTAATGTTGTAATGCTAGTAAAGCGATCATAGTTTACTTCAGAAGACGAACATCTACAAATATTAGGATTTTCCAATGCATGCTTCAGATTTTTACAGATATGCTTTGATCAGCTTTTTTTTTCATCAATTCGTCTCTTCTTGTCACTGAGGCAGCTGGCAACTTTCCCAATCTCCTTTGCCTTGGACCTTTCTCATTCACAAAATTCTCTATAGCCATTCAAGTACGTCCTTAAGTGGTGAAAATAAACTGGTAATTAGCATGAATATGACAAATATAGTGGTCTAAAGAAGCCTGCGGCAAAAGACGCCAGTGATAGAAAGTTATATTACAAAAATCGAAAGTAAAGACACATCTTTACATAAAGCTGTGGCTAATCAGGAAAGAAATTTTTTCGAAAATTCAAATTTCTTTAATTTCTTATTCATGCATGTTGACAATGTGACATTCGTATTATATTACATTCTGTATGTCTTGCTTGTGTATCTGTATATTCCGAATTTTCAGTGATGTTAATTATTCTCCAAATTTTGCTGATTCATTTCTATCAAAAATTGTTGCTAGCATTCTCAGCATACCGAAAAATTAAATCAAATTCTCAGCTTATTTTAATTTATAAACGCCTTATTTTTGAAGTTTATCTTCAAAAATCATGAGTTCCAGGGTGGACAACTTGCATTCTCGGTCGGAGAAACAGCACAGAACGAAATAATTGCCAGTATTCGAAAGCAAAACAGCAACAATAACGGTTCGTGCTTCTGGATGGGAGAAAGTGACAGGTGTACCTGAATTTTGCAGTTTTGAAAACCATTCTAGATGTGTTTCTGGACAGCTCAATTAATCTTCTTTGTAGCTAAATTGATTAGTTGACATTTCTAGTCTTGAAAAAGCTAGGCGACTTTTTGCCTTTTCGAAGAATATTGTCTCTATCCGAAAGAACTCTGAAGCGAAAATCAACAAATTCTAACTTTTGCTGTGAACGGGGACACAAAACTGAAATTAACTTTCAAAAAAGTAATGTTTTCATTGATTGTTTTTTCTTTTCCTACTCTGTGAGCACAGAGAAATTCCAAAAACGAAAAGTCAAAACCTTCTTCGCATTTACGAGTGAGAAGGGGCACTTTGTCGTAGCCGAAGCAGCAGCACCAAGTGCTAGTTAGCAATCACACGCTGGTAAGGCTACCAGTAATTACCTCTTTCAAGAATTATTGTCTGGCATATGTCACTACCAATTTACCGTCGAGACGAACAAACAAATCGTAGAGGGATTTGTTGTCCCAATGGCCAAATCGAATAAAATAATTGGCCAATGCACGGGCTGCCCGTGCGAAGATGCGTTTTTGCATAGTTCCCGGCAGTTTTTGTTTCTACCGGCACCGGCTTTTTCGGCAAAGCTTCTAGCTAAACAAATTAAGACTGGCCGCCAGAACTGTCAGAAAACACACCCTTTTTCAGCTTTCTAGCTTGCCTGGCTCCTGAGTTAGCAACTTACTGGAAAAAAATTTTCACGTGCCTGTGGTTGTTCGCCATGCATACCCGAGAGTTGGGTTTGAGCTAAATGAAACTTAGGGGAGTGGGGTATATCCTCTTAAAACTACAGTCCTCTAGCTTCTCCGATCCCTGAGTTATGGACTTACCCGAAAAAAATTTTGGCAGGCCCGTACGCAGTTGCCACGCTTACTCGAGGCCTGGGTATGAGCTTGCTAATACCCACTCGAACGGGGAACATCTCGTTAAGATTTCAGCTTTCTAGCTTATCAGATCCCCGAGTTATGAACTTACCCGAAAAAAATTTTGGCGGGCCCGTACGCAGGCACCACGCGGGTAGTGGCGCCCATTTTTGGGATTGGGGCCCGAACGTGCATGTAGATTAAGTTCCCAAAGTTTCAGCCCTGCAGCTTTTGTGGATCTTGAGATGAAAAACCATGACAGACGCACACACGGACACACGGACACACAGACACACAGGCAACCCCTCGTCAATATGCGTTTTCTGCATTGCATAGCTGCAAAATACGCATAAAAAGAACATTTTTCATTCCTAAAAAAGCAAAGGAATGTAAATGCGCTTGACGACATGTCACTATCGGTTTGATTTTTAGAATCGATATTTTTTAAGATCTTCAAATGAATCTCAGTGCAAATGTTTCTATGTAACGAATGCGAACGCGATTTGGAGTAACACGAATTGCGACAGCCTTCAGCAGTGGGTGTGTGAGTTCGCACCCGAATCCAGCACCCCGCGGCCCATCGAATGTTACAGCAAACCAACGGAGCAGGCTGTTGTTTTTAATGGCCAGTTCTGCACTGAATGGTAATTGATTGACTGGCCAGTTGATTAACAGATAATTGGTAACTGATAAACAGATCTTCAAGTTTGTTTTTTAAAGCAAAACGGTTCTTTCGTAAA